ATTCAGATAAAAAGTCTATTCAATTTGTGTACATAATTTTTTGATGAAAAGGTTCTATAAAAACATTGCCTAATCTCTAAAATCATAAGAATATATTTTTTGAATGATTGTTAATAATAACTTGTATACATCTTGGGTAAAATAAATATAGCAAAAAAAGACCTAATTTCCAATAAACAAAGGGTAGCTTTCTTCTTTGATTGTGGAACAAACAAATATGTATCGAAAGAAAAGAACTACACTATTGTCTACAACATTTCATATAATATCAAACAAATAAATGATGATAAATGTTTACATGATCTTAATCCTGAACAAAAGCGTGCCGTTACTTATTCAATAGATCAATCAACACTTGTTCTTAGTGGAACTGGTTTTTTTGTTTTCTAATCCTTTTCACTTTTAATAATCGTTAAAGGCAGTGGAAAAACACGTTTATTAAAATCTCGTATTGTTGATTTATTAAATAATTCTAATATAAACCATATGAAATATTTGCTGTTATATTTATAAATAAAGCAGCGTTTAAGATGCATGATCTTATACGTCAAATGTTATCTGGCATACAATTACATGATATGTGGCTTCAAACATTCATGGAGTTGGTGAAGTTCTATTTATTTATTTTTCAATTAGAAAAATTTTATTTTTTAGTAAATCGCTTTTTACGTGTTCATTGTAAAATGATTCGTGTTAAAAATGATCTTTTTAATAATTGATTCTGATAATCAATTATCAGTTGTTAAAAAAAGCTCTTAAAGATGAAATGAATGAAAAAAAAATTTTCATATAGATAAATGTGTGCGTGGGTGTCAGTGTCGGTGTGGACCCATGCCTCAGAGAAAAAGTGATTCCCACACCCACACCCATCATGAAAAGAAGTCAATATTACTTATATTACCCTCTATCATAAAATTCTCTCTCGTATATTGATGTGCAGTATAGTAGATGCAACATTGCTTCAGTTGATCTAACAGAAGATTTGTTAATAGATACATTCAGTCGATCGTCTTCCGAATTATATCTATTTTAGCAAATGTACGTACACAGAAATTTCTCGTTGCATTAATTGCATATTTGGAAAACATTTCCGGTTGACCCAGAATTTACTAAATAACCATTTAGACAAGTCAATATAAGAAAACTCCTATGATATTTTTTGAAGAGCTGATGAAAACATGTCAGCTGATAAAGATATGGCCACTGTTGAATTTAAATCTAAACATATTCGGTGTATAAATACGACGAGCATCCGTTACACCCACAACTATGATATTTTCGAATATTTAAAATTAAACATTTATTGATTTTAATTTAATGTGTATGTTTTAGAAAAGCTGTAACGTCGTCATGCTTACACATACACTTCATTCACCATTCATTAACGTTCTTTCGTACAACAATATCTCCACTTCTATCTGAGAGTTTATATACAACAAAAAAAAGAAACAAGAATAGCTATACTAGACATAGATGATAGTAGGAGGTCCAGTATCCATTTGAAGTTGTGGAGGATGATGATGAGATTCTTCATTATCAGTACTGATTATTTCATGTTCATAATCACCATCATTACTACTTGTACTACATTGTAATATAAGTGTATCATCTTCATTCCATGTTATTGGCTCGTGTTCATTATTAATTGAACTTGTTCCTGTTGTATTTGTTCCTATAATCGAATGTGTTGATGTTTGTTCGATTGATGCCATTGGAATATTACTCGATGATGATAATATGGGTTTTGCATTTTTCATATCTTTTGATATCAACATTAAATCATATTGATAGGAAAACATACTTGTTGATTTGGAATTAATTATTGGTGGATGATGAGAAAGTATTGGCGAATGTTGATCTAAATTAGATATTTGATTCGAAGATGAAATCGAACGACGTCCGGCATTTAATAAAAATATTGTAAGAATAATAATAACGAAGACAAGAAAAAGAATGAGAAAAAAAAATATAATAATGATTGTAAAGCCAAAACGAGATGAAGATATTGGAACTAAAATTAAAAATCTTTTCGAGAAGAAAATTTTCTCATTTCGTTTACTTACGCTTGTCTTGATCATTAATAAAAGATAATTGATCTCGACAAATAGGACAACAATGACCAGATAATGTTACAGTATGTATACAAGTTAACATGGGACATTTATGTTGATGGCAAACAATCGTTCCAAGTGAACATTCACAATGATGACATTCGCTTACCTAAAATAATCATGAAATAACAAAAGAAGTCGAAGTCAATTAACTTACATTCCAATGTTCACCCGAACGATATTGAACAAAATTAAAAATACAAACAGCGACAGCAGCAGTCGGTGGAAGACAAAAAGGACAACATTGACCTTTTTTAAGTACAGGATTAGAACATGGTAAATATTGATTACAGATTTGTGAAAAACATTTAATTTGTCCACTGCCATCATTTGGACAAAGGCATGATTGGCAATCATCGGTTTTCCATAATTCGCCAGCATGCTTTATCATACCGTTGTCGAGTATGCAAACATCTTCATTGATATTTGATATATCAGTTATTGATAATGATTCTGATGTTTTCGGACAAATAGGACAGCAAAGAGAAGAATCATAGATGGGTGACGAACAAGGAAATGGTGGGCATAATGATATACTACAAAATGCAATGTTATGCAAACAAATACATTTTGTACATTTATCAAATTCGAGTTCTTCACCAGTTACATATTGACTTGCATAGCACACTTGGGACGATGGAATTGGTTCTGATGACATAGGCATATCTATAATAATAATAATAAATTTAATCAAAGGAAAATACACGAAAGAAATCGAATCTAACCTGGACATGAAGGACAACATCGATTTGATAGAATAACAGGCTGTGAACATTTCGGCGTTGAACATGATATAAGTGCACACAGTTGTTCACCTTTATGACATAAACATTGTCGACAACCATCAAACCATATTTCACCATTCGAATAGGAAAACGAGCCCGATTGGCATTGCCGAGGCCATGAATGTAAAATAATTTCTGTAGTCGAAGTAAAATTACTTTCACAAACACAAATAGGACAGCCAACATCATTGCGCTTTAATCCGTAGGTACAATTTTTTGAACAGATTAATGGCGGACACGGATTACAAGCACAATGTGGACAACCAGTTTTTTTATCAATCGAATAATTATATGGACAATGTTTATCACAATGAAATTGTCGACAATTCGTGCCCGATGGTGGTAAACACAAACAATACTGATTTGATACATTATCAAATTTAAGTGTACAAAATGGCGAAGGACAGGACATGGTTGAACAAGCACATTGAAAACAACCATGTTCATCTTTAGTTAAACCATGCTCACATACGAGTAGGCAATTGTCTAATTGAGGACATTTATAAACCGACGTTTGAGATACGGATTGAGGAAGTGAAATAATATCGTCGAGATATTCTTCATTGTCTTTTTCTTCGTTGCCACAGACAGGACAACAAACGTTAGCTATTTGACGAGGATTTTCACATGGTGGAGCGATACATCCTTCGGCCATACAACGCGATCGACCATCTTCACACCAACATCGCATACAACCATTCGATTCAATCCAAGTTGAATTCATATGTTGAATATGAGAACGGGCACTTAAACAACCTAATTAAATAGAACACTGTATATTGAGAACAAGTAACGAAATCCACTTTAATATTAACCTCCACATTTCGGACAACACTCATTTTCTGGTTTATACATATATCCACAATGTGTGTGAATGGGACATTGTATCATGGCGCAATCGACATGACCCGAACGACACGTACATTTAGTACATTGATCAATGGACCATGTTTCATTCTCATTGTAGATTTTTTTATCATGATGACATTGTTGGGAATCTTGATTAAACAAAAAAGAAAAGAAAACGAAAAATATATCGAATTATTAATTTTTCTAGTATCGGCTATGACAAAAGTATTTTTGCTGCTTTTACCGATATGTAAAAGGAGAGAATGGAAATTATTTTATCAGTTGCATTTTATGATTCGATGAATGTTATCTACTTTTGCATCAAGACCCTTGAGATATTTCACATACATTTTCTACAGGCTTACATTATTCACAAGTAATATACGCTTTCTATGACAAAACTTTTGTCATAGTCGATATAGATTTTTCCTCCTATTCTCACCTACTCTTAATGCAATTAAATTGAGCACAACATTGACCAGGAATATTTGGATTGCCTGTACGATAAATTTGAATGATGGAATTTTCACCACACATTATTTTTGGGCAGGGTGAGCAAACGCAGTGACCTCGAGCTTCACAACATATAGATGAAAGATTTCTTGAATGAGATAACGATGTTTGCAATAGAGACGTTTCGTGTTCACTAAAGTGGCTATCTGATAAACAACTTGATGAACTAATTGGTGTATTATTACAGACGACATTTGAACAATCGATTGATTCTTTCACTGAAATGAAAAATAATTGGAAAACTAATCTTATCTTTTCACATCGTGTAAAATTGCTCTTCAAAACACTGCTCAAGAGAAAATATCGATATTTTTTTCTTTCATGTATACTGAATAATTAATCAATTTTTGGTGTTGCTGTTGTCGTTGTTGTTGACTCCTAAACAGTCGAGTAATATAAATGAGTCTGTATAACATCATTTGCAACATAATATTCTACGTTAACATAATATAATTAAGTAAATAAGCAATTACTCTATGCGTATATGATTAGGTCCTACAACTTATCTCATAATAAATCTTCATTAACGACAAGAAAAGCGAGCATAAGGGTGATGGAGTTCTCAGGCTATACGTCGATACGTTTACACGAGTTGTTACAGTTAGTTATGTGTATTCTTTTTTTTTATAGTCAGATATATATATATATACAAATGACCTCATCAATCGAATGTGTTTGCTTCAAGGTCTAAATAGAAAGAATTCTACTTAATTATCTTACAAAAAAAAAATCGATAATAGGGACGATAAGAAAAACCCAATGAACAAAAAGGAATTTTATGCTTACCACCAGTCGCTTTTAAAAACCTTGATTCGTGTTCTTTGTGAAGGTCTGCTTGGTTTTCACAAGTAATTTTTGTATTTTGATAAAGATTTTCATTACAAGGTACACGTCTATTGATACATTCGCATGTTGTTTTATTATTTTTAATCATTGATAAACATTGAAATTTTAAACATGCTGAAATAATATCAATAAAGAATATCGTTATTCAGCTAAAAGCAAACAAGAATAGAAAAAGAAACTGATTTAAACCTTTGACACAAATTCCTGTTTGTTCATAGAGATTTTTATCCGGAATTGTATTTGATTTATAGCAAAGTAAATCTTGTTCACATATACCATAAACATTAAATCTTCCGCCGCATATTTCATTTTCATTCCGAAGACAAACCGTACAACAATCACATTGATCACGTATAAATTTCGTACAATTTTTGTTTAGAATTGAATATTTAAAACAATAATCCGCGGAGCAAGCCTCGTGGCATTCGATCTGATCAGATGTTTGAATAGGTATAACATTGAATTTCGATTGTTCGGTTTTTATTTTTGGAATATCTTCAATTGTTATAACGCCAGATACGAATGTCCAAAGCATAATAAAAATACTAATGAGCAGACAACGTCCGACAAGCATTACTAATTGAATCTCAAACGCATAGTCTTATTTAGATTAATATGAAAGATTTTGATGGTCGAATCGTTTGTCCGTACCATCGAAGTATTTCAATAGAGTTCGTTCTAAAAATTGAAGAAAAAGAAATTATATAATTTACGTGCACATTAGACTAATAGTTAATATTTTCTTCTGCTTCAAATGAATATCGCAAATATTTTTTTTCAATACTCTCATTGAGCAGAATGACATATGATGCGTGCGCACACACCTGCCGTTGAAAATAAAATGAATATTTACTATGTTAGAAATTCTTCTAATCGAAAATCGTTTTTATGATAAAAATACGCTACTTATAGAGAATTTATCGTACTTAAAAACAAATCATAAATGCATATTTCTATATATTTAGTTTTTCTTTTTCAACTGAATTACAGAAACGAAGAGAAAAAAGTCAACTTTGCATTGACAGTTTGTTTTACTTTAAAAGAAAAAAGGAAGAAGAAATCTAGATACTAACATTGTTCTCGTTTGATTTATGGCACATAATGAAATAAAATTTCATTCTTCGATAAAAATCAGTCGAATTTCTTAAAAGTCAAGTTACAGAAACGACGAGTGGACAACCATCTTATGTATAAATAACTGCCATACCACACACATATATGTTCCTTTCTTTTTTTTTTCTCCTAGTTATTGTCTTAGACACTACACATATGTCGTATCTTTAGCTAGAACTAATAACAACAGCAGACACAAATTCATCCATCATCTCTATTAGCGATAGATATAGATAATCACAAAGGAATATCATGAAGAGTATGAAGACGGCAACACCTGATTGGCTTTTTCTTTTAGCTTCTAACCAATATGTTACTGTTCGATTGTTGTTGTCGCTTTGATAAGAGATACCGTAGAAGTCGATGATAAGTTGTGTAGAAAGTTAATAACGAATGTTGTCAAAGATAACAATAAAGATATATATATTTATATACATGCGTAGCTGGATGTGAAAGACACTGCTATTTCGACGAACAAAAAACAAATCATATACAAAAGAACGACAGCATGGTGAAGATACTAACGAGCGAGAGAGAAAAAAGGTTGATTGAAAAAAAAGAAAGAGAATAGCCAAGAGGACTGAATGCACAAACTTCATTGTCAATAGCTGATTTATCGAATCCATAAGCAAAAGAAAAACTGATAGTCAACGGATTCTTCATTGCCAAGCAGTACTCACAATTTTCGATCATATACGCTTTTTCTTTCATGTGCATAGAAAAACATATAACGACGGAACAAAAAAAAAGAAAATATTATATTTGCTTTTTCAATGATCAAACGTCTTCACGGTTGATTAAATAAAATAACATGTTTTATAAGAATGTATGCATGAGCAAAGGTGATACAGCTTATTTTGATACAGTTAGAAAGACTGTATAAAAATGTTATCCTCTATCCTTCTACGAAGAAAACAACCAGGGCTTTCAATATTAATGAATAGTTGTTTTTCTTTAATGCAAAAGAAAGTAAACATAAGAGAGAAAATTAATATTTATTATTACACATATCATTGCTTGATAATTATCCAAGATAGATTTGCACGCTAGTCATAACCATCATATGAATATTCATGTCAACGGAGAATAACTATTCTAATGTACTTTTTCGCTTCTCAATACATTGGGAACAACAACAACAACAAAAATAGTAGATTTGTAGCAACAATGATTGCGAGAAATCTTCGAAGTATACAAAGTTTCTCTCACCCACTGTTGATTGTGATTTTACTTTGCTTCCCGTTGACGACTATTTCTGTTATTATTGATAAAATTTATCGATCCAGAAACAGTGCTTTTGGGAAGATTCGAACAAGAACATACGAACATATGAAACCATTCGACTGATATATACTCTCATAGAGAGAAAAAAATAGTATGATTTCAATGTGTGTATCTTCAATCTACTAGTAGTACATGTGTCGCCTATGTTTATTTCAAGGAACAAAAAGGACCTATTAATGGCAACAATAAGTATTTACTACTTGCTAACGTATCATTGATTTCACAGAATTAATAATCTACGCTCCTACGTGTTTTTTATTTTTTCGTTCATGACGACGCCGTTTTTTCTCTATAACGACGCTATGCACAGATATTTTTCGCCACCCTGCTGCATAGCTACTTGTTAGTATTTTTAATTTTTTTATGCTCACAATACATTATATACCAATATGCAATACAAACAAATGATACAAAATTTTTTTCGTTTTGATAAGAAGAAAAAAATCTACATATGCCGTATACTCACCTTTTCGTTTTTTTTTCTTACATGATTAACGGATTTTTTCAAGGCAACAGCTGTATATTAACATTAGCGCTGTCTCTGACACAAATAACGTCAATAGCTAATGTAGTTTTCTCGATCGTCCTTTTTCCTATGTGTACATCAGCAGCAAAATTAGTAACGAAACAAACCTGTCTTCTGTATGTAGTATTCGTTCTTGACTGAAAGCAACCATTATGGATAGCGACGGCTTCGAGACATACGTGTCGTCTTCTGATAATAGTAGCGATGCTGGAACTAAGTGAAGGGTGGTAATAGTTGAAGGCTGTAAAATATGACTCATTAGGCAAAAAGAAACAAGAAGAAGCTAGTACCGATGTTTTTTTTTACACGGTCTGGATGCCTTCCATTAACAGAACCAGCTAAAAGGAGAAAAAACCCAACAAGGTTAAGATAGAGAATAGATTAATCTATAAGAAAGAATAACATATCCAGTATGTAAATGTACTTCTTTTCATGCAATAATTATTAAAATAATCAAAACTTTCTTCTAACAGCAAAAAAACACATCTCTTTGGAAGTCTTGAGTATGTAAACGTTTTCGTCTGTTGTTATTTTATTTCATATTTAAAAGTCAATATTCTGAATCGAGAAGCTTATTATCGTGTATGTGAAGAATAAAATGCCTAGAGTGAAATTAAAAGTTTCTATACAACCTTTCGATGTTTAGTAGATGCTTTCTTATTTTTATCAAAGAAACTTTTTCAAAAATGATGTAAGAACCTCGAAATAGAATATATTGAAACGAAAATACTTATTAAAAATATATGTTTGTACCTATATGTCCTTATCCAATAGAAAAGTTGGCACTCGATAGCCTCCTTGTGAAGTAGCATACAAAAGGACGACATTAACCAATCATAAAAAAAACCAACAGCTGCTTGTTTTTATAACTTTTACTAATTTAATCCCATCGAAAATTATACTCCTATGATAATAATTATTAAATTGTTTAATCAGTTTGAACTGGTTGACTTAATTGATACTTACGATACAGCTCTTGATCTATTTCATATACGTTCGCATTAGTATTTTCTCGCCAAAAACCAAAGAGTCATTATCATTACCTTTTCGCTAAGATGACTTTTCGTTAGCAAATATTTTTCTTTCAATAGCAAACACTCATGGCTGCATATACGACTTGGATTTCAAATCATGTCGTCAGCAATGAAATCTCTAATCTATTCGTAGAAAGTACATTTGAAGAAGTTTTCTCGTGATTTCACTTTTTCAAAATAATAATTTGTTTTTGTTAATTTTATATAATTCTATAATATATATATATACACAGTATAAGCAATGACATGAAGCAGAAGACAATTAGTGTTACTATCAACGTTATGAATCATTTTTATTTGAATCACTAATCATTTTTACATACAGATAGACGTGTATTTCTATATAAAACAAAAAAATACATGAACAATAATCAACTACCAAAATAGTTCAACAGGATGTTCCTCTGTGAAACAACCATCTTCTTCTGTTCTTCTATCTGTTCCTCCGCCTCGATAGAAAAACATGCCAACTAAAATAATCGGTAGAGCACCAAGACTAAATCCAATATCCCAACTATCCATTGCTCCAACGCCAGCCCATTTATTAACCGAAGGAAAAATAAACCAAAACGAAGTCGATAGTAAAGGTGAAATAGATGATAGAATCGATAGCCAATTAGCCGACACATGATCAGTAAGAAATGTGCCTGTTATATAAGTTCCTAAATAGGAAATAATAAATAAAGCGCCTGTAGCTCCAGCATAACCACAACGACCACCACTGAGACTCGGATCATTAAAAAAACATTTGAATCCATTGGAAAATGAACTCCAAAATTTGTCAATATTGTTTGATGTACCAAAACCTGGAACTAAATCCAATGCAAAACATAATGCAATTGTAGAAAATTGAAATGTCGATTCAACAGCTTGAAAATACACAACTGAAAATCGGGTCATTTTTTCTTGATTTTCTCGTGCTTGTTGAGTAAATTTCATTTGCAATTGTTCTTGTACAATATTCATTAAAGCAGCTGGCAAACAACCAACTACAAATATGAATGGCCAATACCATCCATCTTTTAGTTCTGTTCCAGCTGTACCATCATGCATTCGTTTAAATGTTGGTATAAGACTAAATATAACACCAACAAGAACAAGACTTACACTCATTATATGTCTCCAGTGATATTTTTTAGGTAAAATAATTTTCGAAAATATAAATGTAAATGGAATTATCAATTGTATAAGTATGGACGACAACGCGGGTGGCACACGGCTACCATGTGAACTAAATACGAACAGAAAACCATTTAGTGCGTCAAAAACGCCGACTAGTATCATAAATTTTATCCAACGAGATGCAGTCATCGAAGGTGTGATTTGCTTTTTGTAGCCGAACCATAATGCCATTAAACTAAATACTATTGTAAATGATAGTGAACAGAAGAAGAGAACAAAATAGACTCCGGTTAGCCCTTGAAAACTTCCTAGAAACAACACGAGACCAATTGATTGACCACTGGCAAATAGAATGTTGAGTAGTGAAAATACAATAGCAACAAGATTAAAACTTAAATGCCATCTACGACCGATCGTAAAGCCCGGATGACTCGGTTGTTTAACAACCGGATAAATATATTCATTGTTAATCATTTTTTCAAATGCATTTCGTCAAATGAGTTCTTCTATTTATTGATGGAAATAATGTCAAGTCATGATGAAATGTTTACGTTTGTTTCTTTCTGTTTCAATCCCATGCATGACATGAGTATAAATTACGTCTTGTCAGTATGATATCGCTCTACATCCATCTTCTTCTACCATTTACTCGTCAATGAAAGATAAGGACAGGTACAATATTTGTCGCTCGAAAAACAACATGTACGTAGCCATGAGAATCTTTCTAAAGTAGGTTCGAATTCATTCTGCTCGTGTAAAATAATAGCAGAAAATTTTGAAAATCTGTACTATTTGATTCGACTCATGGTGATAACAATGCATATCATTTTTCATGCAAGAATTATATTCATATGTACCATATATTGATGTTTAATCTATCTGATACTCCCCTACTGATCCCCATCAAGTAAAATGTACCATTATACGATTGAAGATCACCACCACTTTAGTAAAAATGTAATCTTTGGACAGTTTGAACGATACTGTAAAGTCTATGAATCTGTTTTCATAGAAAAAATATTTTGGATTATAAGTTAAATAAAAAGAATTCGCTAACATTCGCATGCTCTACTTCAATACAACTAATTGTCATTTTAAAGTTTCAATTCTATAGATAAAGCAGATGGCGGCGAAATAGAAAAAAATGCTTTTCGACCTTTCTCCTTTGAAGTTATCATCATATTGCGAGAACTTTTAGCAAATGCGATGATATATTTATATCAACACAGCGAATGCAGAGTACTTATAGTGACATATTGGCGAACTAATGACTGACATATTTCGGAGTAATATTCATTAAGCTAGATATTTTGCATAATGTCTTGATCATCCAATAAACGCATGTGTAGACCAAAGTTCAATTCGGGTATATTCTTCATTTGATTTACTGCTAGATAACATATCGTAGAGAAAAACTATTATAAAGTCACTATGTCATGTTTGATTGAAATTAATTTTATGCGTAGAATCGAAACCTGAAAATAGATGTCATCATATGAAATGATTGGTTGACGAAGAACAAATATTATTAATACGTCCTGGCCACGAGGATGCGAAAATATATATTAGCATTTTAAAAAGAATTCAATTTCTTCGAGGATATACTAGCCGCTATTGATGCCATCGTGAAATCAAAATGAATAAAGCAAGCGAAATTTTTTTGATTATTTTTCAAGATATCGTTGCCTTATTTTCAGAGAATCTTCGAAAACTTTCAGCCATCATCTCAGACATTGACTTAAGCATACAACTATTATACACAACCCACAGTAGAAACAGACTTTTCTTGGCATTATTCGATGAACACGAAACCACTATCGATTTTATTTGTTATCACAATTCATTAATGTAAAACACTCTAGGCCCTGTTCTTTCTATTTCACTGCGCCTTGAATTACTACCATCAGCTGTATGACAGTTGAATAGTTAACAATTTCCAAGCTAACTTATTTTGAGTAGGGGACACCAATGGGATATAATTTGTTAAATATTTATTCGCTTTACAGAAGACGTTGTGCACTGAAGAGAAGTTAGTCACTCTGCACTAACAGACAAATTCCGTCGTTTTTTTTGTAATATTTGTTTCTCTCTTCATCCCACCATCTACTCTTAATTAATTTTTTCATAATAATTTTCGATTATAAATTTAATGATACGTTTCATTTTTAAGTATTAATTCAATTCTTGTAATTCATATTCATCTCAACAATTAAAATGACAGACACTGTTTTTACAAATAAACTCATCCAGTTTATCTAGATTGATTTGAACAATGAAGTGAAGTCACGCCGACATTGGTTTAAATATCGAAAGAATGAGGGCGCTAAAATCTAGGAGTATTTATCATTTATTCTTCATCGATATACAAATAGTTAACTATTTGCTTTTCATTTTCTTAGACTTTCCTAAAAGTGGAAGAATCGAAACGAATGTTAGCGGTGTTTTACTTTTATTTTTTTACATGTCTCGTAGGTATTTTCATATAATGATTTTAATTGATCTATATTAACTTGAACGAGAAATAAATAAGTAGTAAATATGACAAATGAAATTTCGTTTTTCAATACAGATTCTTGAAGCAGATTTTCTTTTTGATGTTCTCACGCTAAATTTCGAACAATCTTTTCATCTTTTCGCTAGGCGCAGCATCGATTTCAATGATGATACAGAATGAACATTGTTTTCAATCGTTTGCACTGATAAGGTAAACAAAATAAGACGCGTTCGCTCTATCTAAACAAGTTTTACCATGGAAAGATATTTCATTTCGAACGCGTTCGAATACGTTAAGCAGGACTGATGATAAATATTCAGGTTAGGAGTTCTATTTCGAAAACATTTGTCTACAATGTATATATCCTTATTGAATATCGAAGCAAAAAAGAGAAACATAATATCAAACGAAAGTAAAACAAACATTACATTATCCGTTGATGCCCGTGTAAAATGTTTAGAGGAATAATCAGATTCGGTCAGTTTTATCCATTAAGCTTTGAATTGAAAATTGACACTGAACTGATTTTTCTATGAAACTATTAACATTGATTTTATGCGAGATATTTCAGTTCTAAACCACGATATGATAAAAAATTCACATCGCTGACAATGAGGTTACACATCAAATCAAACAATCATGCAAAATACCGATGCATCTGTGAACACAAAGGCTTTAAATTATGAAACAAGTTCAAATATTCAGCTCTTTCCTATGGACAGAAACGATCCGCAAACTTTGAACGCAGAAGAATCGTTGTATACTAACGACTCATCTCATACGAAGCAGGTATTTACTTTCGACTGAGCGTATGATGAAGTGTTTCTAATATTTGATTCTTACCTTTATCGTATACATTCGAATATCGATCTCTTTCATTGCAGTAAACAGCGTGCAATCGTGATTTTAAAAAAATAGTCGTGCAACGAAATGCATTTACTATTGAGAAAATGAGTACAGCCGGTAATAAAAGATAATAACCAGAAAATAACATGACTGTTCAGTTAAATACTAAAACAGTCAAGTTATTGATAAATTAGATACGAAAATCCATTTTAAAATAAGCAAATAAACTTCCCAGATCTACACTGCTCTGTAGCTTTTTCAAATTAGCACGATATTCCATATTTTGCTTTAAAGCTAAATATTTATCGGTTACTTTTTTTTATCAAAGTCACAAAAAATAAGTATGAAACTGTGAGAATTAGTGTACATTGAAACTTGAAAAAAAAACAGAATTTGTTTTAGTTCTTGAAGAAAAAAATCTTTTTTAAAAATTTTTCATAAGTATTATTTCGCTCGAGATTATCGATAAGTTTAAGGGCATCATATTACAATTTCGTGTTTATCTGCCACGTTTGTTGGCCGTAGGATTTCCGATTCACCTTCTCTCTTTATTAAATGGCGCATTTTAAGTCAGGCGAACGTATTTCAGTCGATATAACTGCAAATATCAATAAAACTGCCCAAAAGATTCATTTAACATTGATCTTCTTCAAACTTATATTTTAACTGCACGAAAATTAATTCACTTTGTTTTTGATTGCATATAATCTACGCTTAAATCACTACGTTATACATTGGAAAAAATCTTCCGATGATTTGGTAAAACATGGATATATAAGACAATAATATTTTCTTCACTTGTGTTTAGACTGTTGAGAAATCATACGAGTATTCTTCTTATTTGACATTAGATTCATCATTTTACAAAGTTAATTCAGCACAAATTTATATTGTTTTTCAATAGAGAAATGTCTTTATAATTTTTAGTAACTCGACTGATGAATTTTCTTAGCTATTTTTCATCAAGAGCAGATGGAAAATTTTAAAAAGGGATCACTTCGATAGAGAAGACGGTCGTTCATGATCATAAAAGATCCTTTGAAGCTCAGCACAGATAGTAGCAGCTCATTTTTTCCATGAGAAATAGATAAAATTTTCGAACTGAGCAGAACTTTCCCAACGAATAATCTAAATCCGTGCTGAAATTACCGTTCCAATTTACAGAATTGAATCCAAAATTTATAACAGAATAATCAAATGACTGTTTCTCACATACCTCTGATCGTAGCACTTAGCTATTACTTAATGTTGTTGTCACGATTTAAAACTCCCTGAGATTAAACCGCGAAAATGATTGAAATCTTCATTTCCCATGGGAATTTGAAGAGTGTTTGGCCCAAACATTACTCAAGTTCAAAACTAAACATTAATTGAGTAAATTTTCTAAATGGTTCGCCAAATGCTTTCGGAAGAATGTTATTTTCCTAGCAAATTTTCTGCCGTTAGTCAAAATTTACTTTGAACATTCCATAACTAACAATTCAAAGCTATTAAAAACTAAGCAGTAATCCTTGCTCGACAATCATAGAGATAATTTCTAGAGCACAGCTAGAAGATTTTTTCTCCAACTTTCAAGTACACATTATTAATTAGGTGTGAATTTCACTGATAAATATTGAAACGTATTCAGCTTTCATAGTAGCACTCTGATTGTGGCTAGAATTAATCATATATGCTAGTTGCCAAGGTTGTGAAACACTAGCAAAAACCATCGACAACAATCCTACTCTTTCTTATTATATTATAATCCAATGATATATTCAAAAATGAAGCCATAGATCCTTCGATCAACTATTTCGAAATCGGCTGTTGAAAATACTTCAGAATGAATCACGTAGTTCATCGTTCTAAACTATTTTTCTATTGGAAAAGCTCCACAAGTCTGATGAAAGTTGACTTTTAGCGCGCACAAAAAAATCAACGGAGATTATACAATTCCCCCATACGATATTGACTTATAAACTAAAGATTAGTTTAGAGCGACAGAGAAGAGTTTGAATTGTCGATTGGGAAAAAAATGGTGCTGTACAACGCAAAGAAAATAGCAGACACTATGCATTTGTCCCAACGGGAAGCCATGTATACATGAAAAGTAGTGATCAAATAGCACCTTGCAGATACGTAGATGCATGTACTGCATTTTAAGCAGATTTTCACCAATCGACAGTGTATCATCTCAGCTAGGTGTCGTGTGGCGGCAGTCTCTTTGTAAAACGAAAAATAAAATAGTAATAGCAATTATGCTGAGGTACACTAAACTCCATTTTACATGTACCTCCGGCTACTCAATATATTATCAATGACGAGAACGATATGATTAGTTATTTATTTTATACTGAATTAGACAAAGAAACAAACGAACCTTACAGAAAGGGTGTGGAATGATTTTTTACGCATACACATCCACAACCAACGTGCTGGAGTGTATTACACTTCAAAAAGCCGAATTATGTCCTGTCTTGAAAGATAAAATTATTGTAAGAAAAAATTCTCTGGAAGCTCAAATCTTACACCTTTCAACTGGATGTGCATTACAATACTCTAATTAAATGTAAAATTCTCCGTTTTTATTGTTAAAACTTGATCATGTATATATATCAAGAATGAAAAGTGATTCAAATGTCAGCTAAATAACAAAAAAAAATAAAAGCAATAACAGCACGAGAAAAAAAACAAGCGAAAACGATCATTATACATTTGTGTCATTTGCCTTGCGCATTATTAATTTTAAAAAAACAGAACCTCTATCCTTTAATTACTGCCACCGGTCTCAATTTCACACATAATTTACTAATACCAGCTGCATGACATGTTTCAACAACATCAGTAACATTTTTATAAGAATCAGGCGCCTAAACGATAGAAACAAAACAATTCAAAAGTTAAATAAAATCGAAAATCATTCCCATTACCTCTTCTTGAACGAGTTTCGGTGATGCAACACGAATAGCAATACCTTTCTCTCTCAAATCATCTAATACTTCATACCAATTGAGATTTCGTCGTGATTTCGCGCGTGATAAGGCTCGACCCTAAAAATATTTATTCCATAATCGCTGATATAGATGAAACATTATCAATATTCATAGTTCCATTATTCTCGAGGGAATAAAAAATATTATCTTTATCAAACTGAGTTAGTGTAAAGAGGCGGTCATCCTCAACGATGTGACTAATAAGTCCAACGGATGAGATCGAATCGAAACAGAAAACCAACAATATTTAATTCTCAATCTTTTTTAACTTTTTGATATTACTTACCGCTCCATGACATGTTGAACCAAATGTTTCTTTCATACCTTGCTCCGTACCAGTAAGGACATAACTGCAAGTACCCATTGTACCTAGAATTTGATCAGTAGAAAAATAATTCTTTCCGTCGTTCGAATTCAATACCTCCGATGAGTACAGGTTGTCCTGTAAGCTGATAATCGACTGGAATCAATGGGTGATGCGGCGGAAATGCTCTTGTAGCACCTTTTCGATGGACTAATAAAGTTTTTTGTTTTCCATCACTCATCATATGTTCTTCGACTTTAGCTATATTATGCGAGACATCATAAATTAAATGCATATCAAGATCATCAGGTGTTGTATTAAAACAACGAGCAAATGCCTTAGAAAATAATTTAGAAAACTCTTCTCAATAAAACTCTTTCTTTTTTATTGCTCATACTTGTCGAGCGAGAAAAGTCATCGACGAACGATTGACCCATGCATAATTAGCAGCTGCACACATTCCTTTCAAATAATCCTGTCCTTCTTCTGAATGAATCAATGCACATGCTAATTGTCGATCGTTTGTTTGAATTTGATCACGTTTCATAGCCTTTTCCATTGCAACAAGTGCATCTAGAATATTTTCATTTTATTTTACTGAAAAAATAATGTTTCATCTTACCAGTAGCTACTTGATGTCCAAGACCGCGGCTTCCGCAATGTATCATTACGCACACTTGCCCTTTAAAATCAATGCCCATTTTACCGGCAGCAAACCGGTCATAGATTTCATCAACAATTTGAATTTCAGCATAATGATTACCAGCACCAAGTGTTCCTAACTAAAGACACACAAGTAGTTCGTATAGAATCAAACTCAATATAAATGTGAGTTTTCTATTATTGATATTTGTTGTAAACTATTCAGGCGGATACTAGAAGATAGAGAATTCTAACGTTTGCGTTGATCATCTACATATTTAGATGTTCTCTATTCTCAGATTAGGACGTCTAGTTACTCATGTTTTTCTTGACATTTTTAATCTACATTTGATCACGTTAAATACAATCAACTGCTTGTAAATACCTGTGGTAAACCACGTTTTTTTGCTCGTTGTGAAACTTTTGTTGGATCAGCTTGCAACATTCGTCCATATTCTTCACAATGTTCTTTATCTTCGGCCCATGAATAACCTTCACGTAATGACCAATCCATGCCCATTTCAAGTGCTTCTTCAAGATCTCTGAATTGAAATTTACATTATGAAAAGAAATTGTTCGATTCTTTTCTTTGGAAAAATTTACTTTGCGTTCATTGGTATAACACCTTTGGATCCAACGCCAACTGGTATATGATCAAACATAGATTGTGCTAATTGTTCTTTCATCGGTTGTACATCTTTTTCAGTAAGATTTGTTCGTAGAAGACGTACACCACAATTTATGTCAAAACCAACACCACCAGGCGATACAATGGCTTTCGGATCATTGTAATCAAAAGCAGCCATATTTCCAATAGCAAAACCGTAACCTGAATGAACATCAGGTAAACCAACAGATCTCTATTAGAATAGAATAGATTTTTATTTCGTATAGAAAGTTAAAAAAGAAAAGATTATTTACGCCAACAATGCCAGGAAGTGCAGCAACATTAGCAATCTGTTTCATTCCAGGAAGAAATCCACCAATACCACCGAATCTTGTAGCAGTTTCAAGTTCTTCAAACATTAATTTTTCTAAATGACTATTGACATAAAAAATTCCTTCAACCTATAAAAGAATTCTAATGAATTTTTCGAGAAAAAATTTTCTTTTGTTGGTTTTTTTCTACATACATTCATATTGGGTACAAATCCTTTTTTGATACGCCAACAATGATTGTTGATGCGTTCAATAAACTTTAATTCTTCGTCGTATGTGCGCGGCATGATCAATTGATTAGGAAAAGTAAAAAATGAAAAGAAACTTTCGCAACAAGCTAAATGGACTCAATATCCATACTTTCCTCTATTGATCCTAGAGTAGCCAATTCAAAGAGATGATTTCAACAGAGTGCGCTAGTGCGCTGAAGTGAACGACGTGCTAATGTGTTATTATTTCTCGTTGTTTTCTCGATAGAGTAAAGTTGTGTGTAGATTAGTCTAGGGATTATTTTTTCAGAGGAAAATTTTAATATATGAGCTTAAATTGAGGGTCAATTAAAAAATTCGCTATGATAGTCGGCAGTCGCATCTGTTTGAAAAAAACTAACATTGTTTAAAGAAGATCATCACAAAAGAAAAATACCATTGTTCTTGACAAAATTATCAATTATAAGTGTTGTGCGTCTTCGTTGAATCGTGTAGTTACTTTTTGTATATTTATCTTCTTGACCGGGAAAAAATTGGTAGAAGTACATTAATACAAATCGAGTGTTCAATTATATATTATTAAAACAAAAATTATTAGCTCAATTACAGCAGAATGTATTTGAAAACGCAATACTGTTTAAATTCATTTACGAAAAAATAGGTATTGGTCACTCTCGATTTAAATTTAAATGCTCATTCTTATCGCTGTTTTTGATCATAGAAAAAGAGAACTCAATCCGTAGAAAATCTCTCGCACATCATACCTATGTATTTATGTATATATGACTGGTCCTAATTTATAAAGATCATTACCGACAGACATCGACCAAATTTGAAGCATAGCATAGCATAAAAAGGGCATCTAAACTGATATTATATGAATTAGTAATTTGATCATCATGTTCCTAGTAAAATAAAATACCATCACGATAACACTTTGATTGAGAGCAACATAAAAAAGAAAATGCTTTTATTCCTTCATGTCTGGACATAGAACAATGCTGTTGTACTCTAAATGTTTCTTTGTTCTCTGCTATGCAATTGTCTCATGTAGCATGAATACAAAAAATAAACTGACCATTGAATCGAAAAGTGATGTTGTGAAATATCTCAATGAATTCGGCTATAATCCCTGTGATGATGCAAATGGTTTACTTTGTTCGCTCAGCTTGTCGAGTATGTTAAAAGATTATCAACGACGGTTTCGATTACACATTACTGGTGTCCTCGATAATGCCACTAAAAACCAGATGAGTCAATCACGTTGTGGTAATAAGGATCCGCCTCTTGGTTTATCGAAAAATGTTGTTGCCTCGCTAGCACAAAAATGGTCACGCTCAATATTGACCTGGTCGTTGAGAAGATATTCTTTGCGTATTGGTGAAGCACAATCGCACAGAATCCTTCAGCAAGCTTTCGATGCTTGGTCTCAGCACATTCCATTAGATATCAGGCAAGTCTGTTCTGGGTGTTCGTCAGATATCGTTGTGGACTTTGGTTCAACAGATCATGGTGACCGTTATCCTTTTGATGGACCCGGCCGAACGTTGGCACATGCGTTTTCTCCTGAAGATGGTCGAATACATTTTGACGTGGATGAGCCTTGGACTACTAGGTAAGATCGCTTCATGTAATCTGTTGTTAGTCTTCAGTCTACTATCGTTTTCGTTCAGTTACGACGACAACAGCAATGACATCAATTTTTATGTCGTCGCAGTTCACGAGATTGGTCATGCACTTGGTTTAGATCACGCTTATGAGAAATCCGCAATAATGTACCCTAGCTATCAACTGTTCAGAGAAAGAGACATTTTACCGTATTACGATCGGATCCGTATTCAACAAATCTATGGATCGGCTTCAAAGGTAACCACGCGGAGTACAACAAAGAAAACCACTACACCAAGAACAACAATAACAAAGAAAACCACTACACGAACAACCACAACAAAGAAAATAACTATACCAAGAGCCACAACTAAGGCTACACCAAAATCTACAACGAAGACTACCAAAAAAGTCACAACAAGACCGAAAGTAACCACTAGATCCACTATGAATCTTCCTTCAAAAGCCAAGCTTCCTTGCAAAGTCTTCATCGATGCGGCATTCGATTTTCCAGATAAATCGTTTCATGTGTTAGACACTGGAATGCTGAGGCGCTATTTACTCAATAAGAAAAAATGGGATAGATGGATCTTACCTTTTGAACAAGTCTACCGTGGTTTACCGAGTCGAATCACAGCTGGCGCTTACGATTTCTCTAGGAATGAAGTTCTCATCTTTACTAGTACACGCGTCTATCGATACAAAATTAATCTACGCACCTATCAAGCCGAATATCGTAAAGACGATTCTTTACCAGATCATTTACAAGGTGGCATTGTTGGCGCTATTTCCTATCAGGATAGAATCCATGTTATCAAGGCAAAGACATTGCAATCGTTTGATATAAAGAGTTTCAAAATAAAATCAAACGAAAGAAAACTTTGTGATGAATTTCCACGCTTTTCTGGTTCTGTAAAAGCGGCATTTACCTCTGGTTATCTTCATCATTTCTTTACCAATGATGGATTGACTTACGTTTGGGATGAACAATTCAATCGATGGAAAACATTCGCTAAACCAATGGAATCCAACTGGTTTGCGTGTACGAAAAAACTATGACAAAACGAAAAAGACAAGAAAATATTTTACTCATTTACTTTATAAAAGGGAAAGATTGAAAAATATATGTATTACTTCAGTGTATGTTGGTTTGTTTTCTATTTCTCCTAAATCGATATTAGTCCGAATAAAGGCGATGGAATAGAACAGTAATATTCTTAATAACTGGTATGATTATTATTCTGTGATACCAACTGTTAGTGTAATCTTTATTTGATACACATGCTAAACGAGATTAAAACGCTTACTAGAGGCTATCTATTGCCATTTCCCCTGGAGCTGTCTCTCACGATCTTTGAGGAGAGAATGCGACATCCTCTCCAATATCTCAACACTCTTTGCAACTTGTATTTTACAAAAAAAAGAGTATTGAGTGAGCTCGCCAGGCTATTTTATTCAAAAATAGAATAATTATAGATTTCAGGATGTTTCTCTTTCATATTTGTGTACACACTTCCGATGTCAACAAAATTTATACTTGCCCAATTTTTTTTTATCATTGATAATAAAATATGGGATTTTATACAAGTAATGAAATTTTTCTATATTACTTCGATAATAGACAATAGATTTTTAATAATTAACACATTTAGCACCGAGAAAAACGTTTATTTCGAAAAAAGAAACTATAGATAAGGAATAAAAGAAACAGATATGAATCTAATTTTCGTTGAATGTGATTATCAACTAGATTAAAATCGAAATGTCAACTTTATGGGTGCTTTTTGTCTACTCAAAAAAAGTGAGTACACTCTAGATTCGGTCAGTGTGTCCGTCCGTTAACATGATAACCTTTGAAAGTCTCATCCAATTGTCATGGTATTTTGTACACATAATGATCTCATTAATATCGAAGTCGAGTTCGAAGATGAGAAGGAGCCGTCAAGAAATGGCTGAGTTATCGAAAAAATTGTCAGTATTGACCAGACCATCCCTGAGGGGAGGGGGTACAGGGATTTTTCAAAAAAAACTCTTTCCCAGAATTATTCACAACATATATAAATCGACTCAGTTTTTAACGCTGATTCTGAATCTGATATTAGTTTTGAACTAAACCGTAGCTTTCTGATGAAACATCGCCTGAAAAATGTCTCAAAATGCACAAAAACTATATCCAGAAATAAAATTGGCTAGTTTCTCATGATAATTTTGGTGTTCAGACATTCTAGAATGACTCATCTGTCCCATGCACTTTTTGCAGTACACATAACTCTCGAATGAAATCCGAAGTTTCCACATTTATTCTTTATCATTTCAGAAATTCAGAACGTCTATTTTTTGGGGCTAAGCAAGACTCAAGTAACTAAGAAAAACTCTGTTCATACAAAAGCTGAATTCGCCTAAAATGAATTCTTCAGCTGATCACTTGAGGATTATCCTGAATGCAGCTATCTATCTATACACTAAAAAAATATTTTAAAATTTTGTATTTTGCCGAGCGATCACGCTGCATCGAAAAAATTCATTAAATTATATTTATAAAATGAAATATGTCGATTTGTACGGAAATCCAAGCCTTCTGTGTTGATGAAAAATAGAGTTTCATCAAATGAACAATAAAGCGAAAAAAATACGAAGAGTACAATTTATTCTGCACTGTCCAATATGTCTCGTTTTACGTAGAATGATTCGCACCACTATCTCTAATTAATTAGTTCTACAACAACTCTTTACAATAATAAAATCATTTTATATATTGATTAGAATGAGTTAAAATGGATTTTTCCTTTTTCAGACATCACATGAAACTGCTATTCGTGATTCCTCATGATTGAGTCAAACAGGTTATTCTGAATGAACAAAAGAACTGCCGTCATTTGTTTTCATTTTACAAATAACAACAATCAATTAGCATTGCTTTCAAGGCATTTCTTTAAATTTAGTTAACAGCATCATCTTGCTTTTGGCCTATAGAAAAATATAGTGACACAAGTGTCTATTTAGATCTTTCAATGAAGATTTCATATTACAAAACATATTAGAAAAGTGTGACTTTATCTTAAGAAAGAATTTACAGCGGAGCTTTTTGATTATTAATAAATTCGACCAATCCAAAAACGTATAAAAATCCTGAATATTGTCCATGATTGCTTTTATCTAAACAAGATTGTTGCTCATTTCAATCGAATTGGCGGAAAAGGAAAATGTCGTAACTGGTAATTGCAGAAGGTGAAAACGTCGAAATGAAAAAGTATAATTACTAAAAGTGCCGAAGAAAAACTAATAGAGGAAAAAGTAGGAAAATTTTGAGAAGGAAAACGTAGAATGAAAAAGATGTCTATAGATAACGAAATTGTTTTTTGAGTTGGTATTGGTTGTTAGTGGGATAAGTTAAATTCGTTGTCCTCCTCATCTATAGTTTGTACTTGTTCATTGTTAGCGCATAGTATATATATATACGTATATAAATCAGCCTGGTGAAAACAGCTAACAAATAATTTTCTCTTCAATCATTGGCAATGGACAGTGAAATACAAGGGGGAAAAGCGCGACTTCCGTACGTCGAAATACGATGGAAGTATAAGAGAAGTACAAACGAACACAAGTGAAGTGCAGGGAAGTACGGAAGTCGCGCTTTTACCCCCCCCTTGGTGAAATATCATTCTTAACGACTAATAAAGGTAAACCATTACTGGTGTTTAACCAATATATGTTCAAATGTAATAAAATGTCCTCATCAAAAAGTATTGGGTTTGTATTGAACATGGGATGCGACGTATATGTTTTCTTTTTCTTTAAAATTATCAAAAAACTCAACTTTCGGCGTTTTCCGTTTTCTACTTTTTTCATTCGCCGTTTTCCCTTTCTGCCTTTTCCACCAAACCCATTTCAATGAACAAACTCAAAATTAGATGTTCTATGTATTTGGAACTAAGTGAATCTATTTTTAAGTTGTGAATTTCTTCTCCTAAAAAGATTCATTGCTTTGATTGTTTCCTATTGGATATAATTCTCGTTATTTCACTTTCATTGATTGGCTGAAATCTAATGGACAATATTTATTTTCAATTGCATATTTGATCAGCATTTTTTCCTCTTCTCTTGCTCTCCCGCCTCCTCTTAGCTCATAGACACTTTATTTGCTGTTCACAAAAGCACATAGTCAATTACGCGTCCACATCGTTTTATTGACAAAACTCTCGATAATCTTCTTCTGTTCACTTTTTTTTATATGCCGATCATTTTTCTGGAAAAGAATAAAGATGTGTAAGTAGACTTTTGTCATGTTTTATCTGATATCGACACACAGATAGTTTTGATTTATAATGTTAGTCAATAAAATCGATGAATCTTGTTTTATCCTAAGACTAAAAATGCTACATGCAGAGTGAATCAACCGTAGATACAATATTGAAGAATAAAAAAACAGCTGCTAGACTGAGATAATTGTTATTACATTTCTCTTTTGCGACAGTGACATAATTATTCTTGAAAGGTCGTATTAGAATGCCGCACAATTTATTTCAACGGACGGATTATCTACACTTGATTTTTTTTGTTATTGGATCAAACTAAAGAAGTGTTCGCGATTGTCAGCTTGCTCAAAGATGAATTTTAGTTCTACTTGCAAGAGATTTAACATGATGATGCAATGTCTAGAACTAAAATAACAAGCCGCAAATGATGCGGCATCTTAAAAGTAAATTAGAGATGATCAACAGGTGTTATTTATGCAATAGAAAATTTGTCACCTTGTGAGAACATAATCGAATAATGACAGTAAGGTTTGTACCGCTTCAATTAGATCAATTTAACAATTAGTGTGATAAACATTTGCCGTACTGATTTTGTTGAAATTAAGAATATAGCAGCTTTTATGTTTTGTACATTTAGATAAAGTCAATTCGCTGATGGCAACGTCTCCATCTATTAATCGTCGTCATATATCACTATGCTCTGTATGCGGTGATAAAGCAAGTGGCAAACATTATGGAGTGATGAGTTGTGATGGTTGTCGAGGATTTTTCAAGCGAAGCGTTCGGTAATTTTGCTTTTGTTTTTCTAAAAAAAAAGAAAGAAAGAAAGAGGAACAATGCTTTTCTATTCAAAGACGCAAAATCGAATATAAATGCAAAGGTGATTCGACTTGTCAAGTCGATGTTAACCGACGAAATCAATGTCAAGCGTGTCGCTTTCAACGCTGTCTAGCAATGAAAATGAAACCTAGTGGTGAGAATTATTGACATCTGTATGATTTTGAGACGAAGAGGGTGGAGCTATTTGCTCATAATCATACTTAAGAAGAAGCTTTTGAAGTGTATTTAATACTAATGAAAAACGTGCCTATTTTATAGCTGTACAAAACGAACGAGCACCACGTCATGGAGCTAAACGAGGACTGTCACTTCTTCCTCCTCCTCCTATTCCACGAATGCAGTGTTGGACACCACCAACAGCTGCTGGGTATGTAAACGAGTCGCCACAAGTGACCATACCATTTGGCTTTCGAAATTTAACCGTTCATAAGTAAGTCAAGTTTGCTGTTTTTGCTTGTGAATATCGTAAGTAGTTATTTCGATTTCTATCAAATCACAATGAACTCGACGTTTAAATTAATCTTAGAATCAAAGAATTGAGTGTTTGTATTTAGTACTTCATCTCCCGTATGGACTCGCATGATTTTTCAACAGCAACAATTTAATTCATCATTGGATTCAACACAACAGACAATATTGGATTTTTCTAATGCTGATGAAACGCCTTCATCGCTAGGTATGCTTTTTACAAACAATTCGTTTGTTTTTCTTATTATTGAGAATTTTTAGATGTTACTAATGATGAAATAATATGTGAAACAGCTTCATTTGTTTTACTTGAATCGATTCGATGGTTATATTTAGTACCTTCATTTAAAGATTTAAATGAATGCGATCAACGTTTATTAATCGAACAAGCATGGCCGATGATATTCTTATTAACATCAGCTGAAATGAAGAAATTTATTGATCAAAGTAAATTTTAAGGAGCTTTTGTTGTTTTTTTTTAGTAAAAAATTCTTCTTCTAGATGAAAATGAATCATTCGATGAGAAAAATCAATATTCATCGTTGCAATCGATTATTAAAGATTTAATATTACCTTCGATTGATCAAACAGAATTCGCACTACTTAAATTAATTATTATTTTTAGTATTCGTGAGTTAAAATAATCGAGTTTTTAAAATTTTATATGAAAATTTTTTAGCAACAAATTTTCAATTGAACGATCGATTTTTAATTGATAAATATCGAAAAGATGCTTTATTTATGTTAACTGAATATACGAAAAATTCTAAATATCGTCGATTAGCCGAACTTTTAATGTTATTATCACATATGCAAGAAACAATGTCAACAATCAATTTAGATAAAATATTTTTTCAACATTTACTCCATCGAATATCTATGAAAAATTTACTGTGCAATATTATTCGACACATTCGAACATTTTGCCGATAAAAGCCAGAAAGCTGTAGAGATTAAACTTTGAACACATGAAAATATTTTTTTTTAATCAAATCTATAATGTAACAATTATTTTTGTTTGTCAAATAAACTCGTACTTTCTCGCGTAAATAAAAGAGCATGGAGTACTATTAGTTCGCATGATAAATAAAGAATCGTTTAGAAAGAATAGACGTTTTTCGAGTTGAATCTGTGTCTATCGGTACTAGGGATGTACCGAGTATTTCTCGGGTTTGTTTCCATGCGAATGTTTGTAGAGAGAACATTTTTCTAGAAAATTCGACGTCGGTAAAGCTTGTACAATATGCGATTCAATTTCTATTACAGTCTTACGAAAGGCCCAAAAACCGAGACTCTCGGTCCTGTTAGTGCCTGTAGTAAAAATTGAAAGATGCTTTGCATAGAATTTTCCAACATTTCATTTTTAGTCTCGGTGCATCTCTAAATAGTACAATCGGAAGCCAGTAAAAATCTCGAGAATTTTGATTACAAGCAAATGGATCGATATTGAGAATGTACTGGCAGGAGGAATCCAACTTCGATTAATTAACAAGTTTAGGTTATGCAACGAAATCAAGGCTGCAAATAATAATCGAAGCATAATGCTTTCGTTGATTCCTCAAACATTGACTTCAATACTGATTATTTGGCGACGGTCAACACAGATCTGCTTTAGAAAAGAATTAGGAAATTGTTCCAATGTTATATCTGATTAGTCAGATTTTAATATTGAATATTAGAAATCTTTTTTTTTCTTACACAATTCGCCATCAAAAAATCCCACGAGTGTCGTAAAATAATGAACAACTACTATCAATTTTTAATTCATAATGTTTAACTTGCTGATTTGCTTGCAGCGAGGAATCACAGAATCGTGCAATTTTTCTACGGAATCCCAGGTGGCATTTGCTAAGAACAAAAATTCAAATTATAAGACTTCTTTGTTTAGAAATAAACGCAAAAGATGCACTGTTTAAATTATTATAAGTCGATCATGATATTTAGCATCTCTTCTATTGCAAATATTCAATGATGTGAGGAAATCTATTTATATAGTTTATGCGCCGCTGCTTCTGGTAGGGATGATTTCTTCTTCTTCAATCAGTCGACTTATTGTGTTGTAAACAAGAAAACGAATAAAAGAAACGTACACAATCTTTTCTTAATTATAAAGGAAAGAGAATGGAATTTATTGATTTATGAAAATTTTCATTACAAAAATAGCATCGCTTCTTGAGATTTTTTTCATAAGAAAATTCTATCTGATTAAAATATGAACTTCATCTTGAAATATGGTGTCTAGATTCGCATTCTTTTTTATTCGATTGCTTTTATATTTAATTACGCCGCTAAAAAAATTCTGCTCAATAGAACTCGTTTTTATCTTAATCGATTAAGATAATTATGACCTGAAATTCTCAGACAATGTATTCAGATCTTTATAAATAAATTAAATCGAGACATACGCTATGTATAATCAGATTTCAGTCTCTCGTTCTATTCTGGAATCAAATATTACCTAAATAAATTTCGTATTTAGAAAAAATATATTTGCTGCATCGATTTCTTTCTGTAGACGAATGAAGTTCTTAGCAGTGAACTATTCCATGGCGCATATATTCGATTGATTTTAATTATCAAAAATCACATTGTTTTTTCATCCTGCATAAAACAATTGCAAACTCGTGCATTTACGATGCTCTGAAATGTTAGTAGATTTCTTTATTTTATTTTTTTTATGTAATCTTGAAAGAAAGAGAAAAATGATGTTGCTTCACATCTAATGGTCACGTCATAAAAATAAATCAAATAGATTCTCATACATGAAGTAGAACAATATTTTATTGAAGAAGCTGTTCATAAATGATCAAGTTCTTCCTACGCAATTATTTATGTTTGTTGAATGTACTATGCTATGCTCAGACGAATAATTTCTTGGGTGGCTCCATTTCATGGCAACCTGTTTCGCCAAACATAACTAATGCTACTACAGTTGCTATTACATTACAGCAAACATATTCATGGGTAAATTCTGTATGGGCATGCTTAGCACTGTCTGGTTCTCTTATTCAAACGCTGGTTTGCCTGGCAGGTTGCAGTTCTAACGCAACGGGCATTTTCGTCAAAGGACCATGCGTGTATTACGATTTCGGTCTAGATGTAACAACGGCTCAAAGTGTAAAAACACTTTCTTATGCATTAGATGCGCAACTAGTACTAGCCTATCAAAGTAGCACATGGACAACACTTGTTTCCGGTGCAACCACATGGAGTGTAGCAACATATATTAATTTAGCCGTACGTAATGATACTGGAGTAATTAACTCATCGCCAAGAGCAAATATGACCCCCGTAGTCGTCGTGCCTGTCAATACACAACAGACGCTTCGCATACCAATGACAGATAGTGATTACGATGTTGTGAAATGTCGATGGGCTAGTAACGCATCTGCGGTTGCTTCAACAACTATTGATGAATGTAGTGGCGTCTGCCAAGATTTGTCAGGAGCTAAACTGTACACATCATCGAATACCGATAA